GATATAATAAATGATAAATATTATCCACCGATAGTAATGGTTTAACTGTCGGACCTCTCGCTCCCAATAGTTGTGTTCAATAATAGCTTTCAGTAATTGAGGGCTATTTTTGTGGTCAATCGCCGATTGGATTGAGTCATATATTTCTGCAAATTTATACGTGAAATACATGATCGATATGTACCACACTATTAGCCCATACCATATAATTCCCATACCCAACATGACTGAACAGGCGGTATTTAGATTATAAATGAACATCATCATCAACGTGGTTAAATTTGGGCTTTGATAATACACCCTGTAGGATACTATGATGTTTGTTGTTTGAAATAAGAGTACAGTAATTATATAGATAGGTGTTTGAATATATTTGCAATATATATTAAGGAATGAAGCAATTTTCACTTTATGACAGTGTAATAGTGAATATTTAAACATGTTATATTTATAAAAGTAATTAAATCGGATAATAGGGTACGTGTGGGTCAATTCTTGGTATAATTGGACTAAACTTATTAAAAATATTGAGCAAAACAACGATAACATTCCCGTATATACGAGGGATCGGTTGCCTAAATGTTGGTCAAAATCAAATAATATCAGACGAACATGGTGATCAGTTGTAAGTAGTAAAGCGCTCAGACGTATAATGTCAACAAATAATGCAAACCTTAGGGCAATGGCAATAATTAATAACCGTTTATTAACACGTCGGGCCATATAGTGGTCACTGTTTGGGCTGACAGTGATGTATGTGTTTGCGGCAAATCTCTCCATACGCTCGACAGCTACAATCGGGTCGTTATTATTGGCCATTATATTATTGATTAAGTTAAGCCATATGTTATTAGAGGCGGTATATTTGTGGTACAATTCACTAATCATTTTGGTTTTTTATAAACAAATATTTTTATAATTTTTAAAAAGTTCTGCTTAATTATTTAAAGCATTAAATAATAGCAATAATTATTTATTTAAATTTTGTTTAATTAAAACCATAACATCGTTACTTTCTTATAATAATTAAGATTACTTGTTAGAATCACTACTACTAGAATTACTATAAAAAACTGTAATAACAATTTA